CGGGGGGGGGGGGGAGGGGGGACAGAGACGGCGGGGGAGACTGTTGTGTCGCGTTTGTGCCTTTTTCTAGTCGCACGCCCACGTGTTCATGTCTAATCGGAACCGGAAGCACTTGAAACTTGTTGGCACACGACTCAAGCGGTTGGTGCATGATCACTACTCAGCGTAGCTACCGCTTTCGTATGCACTCGCGCGTGTGCATGTTTGTTTCTCATGTATATTATATATTTACAAACACTTCAGTTTTTTGCTCTCTCTCTCGCTATCTTTGTTGCCGATTCGACTATGACTGGTATGCCGGACACTGTGTACTCTTGACATACTTTTATATGTGGCAGTAGCGGCACTGGTATATCCTGACCGGGGACAAATATAGTAGCTTCGTGTGGTCCATTCAACCCTGAGCACGAGTTTGGGGCTTTTCACATTGCACCTACAGAATCTGTTTTAGTGAGGCTGAAAAGGAACTTGAGCAGTTGGGTGTCCACTGGATGGACGCGCGGGGTGGGCAGACGGGATGTAAACGGTTTTGGTCACGTGTGTAGAGACGCCCCGTTGTTTTTCGGACCGATGGGAAGAAGAGAGTAGTACAGAACACAGTATGCCTTCCAGCATTGTCGCGTCCCCTTCAATCTCAATCGTAAAACCTATGCTGGATCACAGCTCTTCCCATCCTGTCTTGACCCCATCGTTTCAATCATATGGAGACGCGAGTGCCCATACACACACAAACACACGATCCACAGGTGGAAGCTACTCATGAATAGTTGAACTGGACATGCTACATAAGCCGGCATCCATAAACGCATACATGAAAATTTATACATGCCACAAACCCCCATATAACTACACATATTTTCAACTGTCTCTCCACTTTTACATTCTCAACACGTGGTAGGAATAGCAGTGCCAGATCTGACATTCACTCTGACTGTTAGAGATACTCGATCCATGTCGAGATCTATGGAGCAGACAATAGTTTAGTGAAATGGAACTATAGTGACATGCGACACAATATGACACGGTAGGATATGATATGCTGTCCCCCCCGCACACACAAGTGATACCCGAATGCTGAAAGAGCGGAGTAGTTGTAGGGACCAGGGGTAAGGGTCATCAAAGGGGTCATCAAAGCTAAAAACTTAAATAAAACTCCGTCTGAGTTTAGACATACAATAGAACAAAAGAAAAACAGAATGCGTGTGGGGGAAGAGAGTTTGGTGTTGCCAAAAACGGTCGAGTTTTCTACAGACAGTGTGTGGATGGAACAAGAAGTGAAAACAGTGGGGGAGATCAATGGATAAAAGAATGTGGTGTACACGACACACTTTGAAAACGTCTTTTTTGCTACGCTACTCCACTGTTTCCTGGAAGGAAGTTTTCTAAGTGACTGAATGTTCAAAATGCTGATGTTGATCAAAATCATGCAACGCTATTCTCTTACTGGAAATGCATTTCACTTTCCAGTATCATACCTGCATATCGGTAGCTTTGGGTAAAGTGAATTTACTCCGAACTTTATCTCACACGGTATTTATAAAGCACCTTTTTAACTGAGGTATGGGTCCAATATTATCCTTGTCAATTAAGTGTTATGTCGAGTCGATTGTATCAGAGTTGTGCAGATAAGATATTCATATTAGCTCTCGGTGAAATGTTTTGCAAATCAAAGTAACTACTGGCTAAGAACTTTCTTCGAGTGCACAATATTTTGACCAATTACCCAAGAAAACATGTCAAACAAACAAGGATCAGTAAAATTCTTGCACACTTATCTTAAGATTTTCGTTCCTATGCTTCTTCTAAACAATCATTATTTGTTTCATCTTCTGTTCAGCCACGTCATCACCGAAAATTGGAGAAAGCGGATATTTTGGAACTTGTGGTCTCTTTCCTCAAACGTGAACTGCACAAATCTCGTCATCAGACTGATCCCAGTATTGATCCGAAATCGTCAATCACATTGGATCATGCGAGATCCTGTTCGTTTTCGTTGAATCAAGACATGAAAACTGCCCCACAATGCGTTGCTGCCACCCCTGATGTTTTCCCTTCACCCCCACACATCCCGATCACTTATCCACCAACCCCATACGATCCATATGCGTCCAATTTTACAATCCCAATATCTCAGCTACCCCCGGCTCCGTATATGCTTGTCACAGACCCCTCACAGAATCCTGTTCCCTATCCGGCTTCTGGTTGTCCCATACCATTTTATCCATTCAAATCGGGCATAGATACCAACTGTAACCTTCCTGAATCCACAACATTGTCCAATACGATCACCAGTCGAAGACCTCTGGGTTCCATCGAAAACATGAACCGAAATGCGGTTCAAACGACTACTATAAATGCATTCATGGGATACGTCCGATCGCCCACAAAGGATAGAAGACCACTGCAATCGCAAACACAATCACAGGTACTACAACCATCATCTTCATCAGCGCATATTAGTACCTTGATTGCCGCACGCTCAGTTGGTTCCGGTATGCCCCCCTCTGTTCCCGGTCCTACCGGTCCTGACTGTGTTCATAAAACACGTGTTCTGAATGACGAAAACCAGGGCAGTTATTCTCATTTGCAAAGTGTGCTCGGTTCGACAGCTCCATCTCAGACATTGTGGAGACCGTATGTTTGACCAATAACCATTTTGGATAGACGCATATTTCTGCATGTGTTTGAATGTGTTTTATTCCTCCCCCCCCCCTGTATCATTGTACTGACTCCCATCTTTCAACAGTTATGCCACTGTCCACACCTGGTAAACGACATGTGCTCGCGCCAGTTGGTCAGTGATAACCTGTCCAACCATCTGTACATTTTTTCACCCTTTGCAATATACATATATATATATATTACCAAGAAAATATGAGTAGTCAAACACTAAATAAGTAATAAATCCGAACAACGGCCGGGTATTTCGTGTTGCTAAACCATGCGAACGCCAAATACAGTAGTGCTCACCACGAATGAATGAGGTATTCTCGGTACAAACGGGGTGGTAGCGTACGACGTAAAATGAGTTTAACCTTTGCAATGCTCAGCATATCACCGAAAGAGACAATGAGCTAGCCTCAGCCGCGTAACAACTGGGACAGAATAGAGTCTTGTGCAAAATATGTACTGCTGATATCACATGCTGCGGAAAGGGGTTCGTGTGTGTGTGTGTGTGACGAATACGTTTACCGGTGAGGTGGATGACTGATAGGAACGAAAGGTTCTTTTGGCTGATCTTGACCGCATTTGATAAAATGCTCGGTTCTTTGATTCGGACGATATTTGTCATTTTCTGCACCTTCCATTGCTTTCCAGTGGCTAACCGTACATGGAGAAAGCCTTACGCAGAAGAGACAAGGTGTCCTGTTTTGGTTGCTTATGAGATTATCGCGACTCGCAAACCACCGCTACTGCTCTGGGTGTGCATATACAATCAGCCTACCGTTGGGTATTTGATAAATCGCACAAATGGAGGACATGGCTGTTACATTAGGAAGAACTGGTGAGAAGAAGAAATAAATCAGTTCGTTGAATGGGTCACTGAGGACTGTACAATCTCTTTGGAGAACTTTCAACTGAATTTAAAGGCGGAATAAGGAACAGAGGTCTGCTGTAGCACAGGGCTGATTTCGGGCACATAGTTTCGCCCAAGGATATAAAGCGGTTTAAAAAACTCTATGTAGGAACAAGTGTTTTCTCCTTCGTATTTCTATTCGGCTTTTTCGCTATTTGAACAGGTGACAGACTAAACGAACCTAAATTTCATATCACCATATCCCATCACATTTACTGATAGCTCATAAGGACTGGACAGCTGATGGTACATTACGAACTAGAATTTTGGTCCTCTTAAACACACTCACATGATCCTTTTTCTCGCAGAATCATTTAGGATTTACGATATCTGAACTTTGCCAGCCGACATTGGCCGGTCAGCTGTATTGTGTTGGCATGTCTGTATAGTGGTCTCGCAGTTTTGTTCGAAAATAATAATGTGACCGTAATCAGGTGCCTCATTACCACATTTGTATTTGTATTTGTATAGACTTTTGCGAGAACAGAATGTTCGCATTTCAGTCAAAAATTTACACATCTCATCAATAGAAGGAAAGATACAAATAAAATATTTAGCCTTTAAGGTTACTGAGAAATTCGGAGGAAGCGCGCTCTCGGTTTACAAGGATTCTGGCAAGATAGGGAACTGGGGAATTTCTGTAGAGACTAATGCGAGATGGTAATAATCGATAAGAAGAACGTGTCGACGTATGAGAGCAGCATTTAGATAAATCGCCGTGTAAAGGATGGTTGGGGTCAGCGAGGATTTTCTGGGCAAACGTTTCACATGCGGACAAGTGAAGTTCACACAGTTTTTTCGAGAGCTCATCAACGGGTATAAAAGACACACGACTGATGATTGACAAACCGCGACGAAGAATTTTGAAGTCTTTCTTTAGT